TATTGAATGACACTACTGGTACACAAATGTCTTGCGCCCATCGCAATCCCGGTTGTAATATAGGTTTGATTGTTGGAACTGGTTGTAATGCCTGCTATACGGAAAAAGTGGAAAATTGTGAGCGTTTAGATGCGAAATACAAGGACAAACCGAAGATCATTATAAATGTGGAGTGGGGCGCGTTTGGCGAGAAAGGAGGCCTTGATCATTTGTATACCGAGTACGATAGGGTCGTCGATAAAAATTCGCTGAATCCTGGCGCACAGATTTACGAAAAAATGGTAGCAGGTAAGTAAGGTGCAGGAAGGCTTTTGGACATACATATATACATACATATGTAAATATTAGGAATGGGTGTTGTATCCGGATTTTTTAAACAGCCACATAATCGAATTTCTGATTAAAAGATCCGCATGACCGATAACAAAATGAACAGATATTAACCGGATATCCGGATTATATATTGCTACGTACGTTTACGCTACGTCGTTGACTAATAGCGCCTTTTTTGAGCTTTTAGAACCTTAACGACGGTTCTGTTGTTTGGTAAGGATTAATGACCTTACGATGCCAGGTTAATCAAATGTGGTACTATGTTGTAAAAGTTTGGCTTTTGTATGTACAAAGGTCTTGTTCTGCTCTTTTGTAGTCGATTGTTTGGTTAGATGTTGAAGTCGCCCAAACTGCTGCTGGCTCATGCATAATAGCGCCTTAACAATTAAATTTTTGATAACGGTAAAAATAAGGATGGTGGTAAGGGAAGATTATCGGTAAATATAAAAGTAACTGTAAAGATAACTATGTCGATAAAAATATCACAATGAAGATGGCAGACACAAAATGTTAAAATAGGGACCTATTTTAAGGCGGTTCAAGAAATCATAGAGAGAAACTGAAGTGCGCTTTTGTAGAGCACGTTTTTTAATATAACTCCCCGATGTTTTTGCAAAACCGCCCATCGACCAGTTGCAAAACCGCCTAAATCGCCATGGTAGCAAAAAGGAGATTTGGTAACCCTTGCACTCCAGGCATTGATATTTATGCATAAAAATCATGAAATCGTTATTAAAACAACAGATTTGTAAAATAACAGCTAGAGAAAATATCGCCTAACAATACAATGCCTTCAAAGGAAACCAATTTTTTCGCTCTCTCTTGTTTAGTTCCGTAAGATAGGCGGTTTTGAAATTGGTCGATGGGCGGTTTTGCAAATCACACCCTTATTTCTTTCGTTTATATTATTTTCAGGCATGTACCTGGGCGAATTGGTACGTTTGATTATGATGCGCGCCGTTAAAGAGAACTTGGTTTTCTCTCAGTGTAAACTTCGCAAACATATCACCGATATCTTGACGAAAAGGCCACATTGCATCGAATCCAAGGTTCTATCTGAAGTTGCCAACGACAAAGGTGATGATTGGCCAGTCGTAAAGAATGTTTTTAAACAAGTCTTCAATTTGAATGATCCAGATCCTAAAGATTGTATGAAATTCAAATATATTTGCGATGTTGTTGTGAAACGTTGTGGCAACATGTTGGGCGTAACGCTGGGCGCTTTAGTAAACAAAGTGGGCGAAAGCTTCTCCATCATAGGCGTAGATGGTTCTGTTTATCGCTGTCATCCGAACCTGGATGGCTACATGCGTGAAACGTTGGACAAATTCGTTGAAAAGGACTATAGATATGATATTATGCTTTCCGAAGATGGTTCGGGACGTGGTGCGGCATTAGTGGGTGCTGTTGTGTACAGAGATTATATGGATAAAACGAGACTAAAATGAATTACAGCAGGAAATTTCAATGATGTCTTAAAAAAGTCGGTTTTTTACATTTCAAGGGGATTCGATTCAAATTACAAGCGTTTGAAGGATATAGCAGTTGGATAAAGAATCAAATAACTATTAAAATTTAAAGGCTAGCTTAAAGCTGCAAAAAATACATTACAATGTGACTAAATAATTACAAAATAAATAATTTCAATGAAAATCCATTGGTTTGTTTGTTATTTAGAAAAAGAGATATAATAATTGCAACAATTCCAGCGGCTTAAAAAAGCCTTATAATTATGCGCTCGATTATTGGTTTTAACTGCCTTGGTTTGAAGCTCGAAATAAAAACGTGTGCAATCGAGCTACCTAATAATTATCACAAAATTGCAACCTTGTTGCTCTCCTGTAGCTTTGTTGCTGATGCTCAACTGAAAATAATTTTGTGTTACTTTTGTCTGTTCTCGGAACGGGTGTTTTCTCCAAGCCCCTGACTTTCAAACGGGCCTGGATTTTTCTGAAACAAAAGTTAGTAAGATAAAAACGCTTTTTCATAAAAAGTAAAATCCGAAAATATTCAACAAAAGCTAAATAATCCGGGGAAATAAACTGCGATTTAAACAAAAAAAACAAGAAAAATGTAGTTGCTACCAAGGTATATTAAAAAGGTGTGATTCATAACTCAGGTAGGTTCTCGTTTAAGGTACTGTTAAGCCAAAAAATATAAACAAGCGATGCAAAATTCATATTTTTTTTTAATTTGACTTTATAGGACGGACGGCAATGTCAAATTCAAGCACACTTTGTTGAATGCATTTTGGTTGCTACTACCTTCACCAATGGCAGTTGTTACAGCAGCATTCCCAAATTTCATATGGCTAGCACCGATTACTTTAATCTTCACAAGCATATGAACTCGAACGCACTACGCCAGTCGATACTTTATCGCTTATCGCTTTCGACTGCACATCGCTTTGAAGTGCGATTTGGGACCAGTGATGCCAACCACGTAAAATGGCCATATACTTACAAGCTTTGCTAAAGAACTCACCAGTACCCAACGTCTCAACGCCAAAATTACGCATTTGACCGACAAAAACCACACAAATAGTGATGAGACAAAGAATAAAACTACTTATCGATAACTACTATTAGAGCTGCCACATGATATACATTCCATACGACAATTATGTATTAGCAGAAATGGTAAACTCTCAAGAGGTGTTTACACTGAAATTTTTAGTAGTCTGTGTAACCACCTTCAAAGTTCACAACCAGCGAAATTTGCGCATAAAAAAATCATCATTGTGTCACAAAAATCGTAAAATCGTTATGACAGTAACAGTCTTCAAAATGACGACAAAATCGTCAATTGCGAGGCAACACTGGTTAGGGGCCAAAATTAAATTCCTTTCCTACAACAGTTTTACGACCTCTGCACTAGTCATAAATCAGCTGATTGTCATTAGCGTATGTACTGTCATTTGCTC